TGATTAATTTTGCTATATTAATTTATATCAGTCCAATGTGTTTACATGTGTACCCATAATTCACATCTCGGAATCATCACTATGTATGTTTAGTGATTGGTATTTTCCTACAAAAGGGTTTTAAATTCACAGCAGTCCAGCGACTTGTCACATCAAGGCTTCGGTCGGAAGAAACAGCCGACTAATTCTGTTTCACTAATAAGAGTAAGTGCTGTAACCAATATTTTTTTCCTCTAACTTTATGATGATTGTTGGGGGACGTTTATGATGATCCAAGTGCAATCGCACAATATATCAGCAGTTGTCGTGCAATAAACATTGTTTCTGATTTCATTGGTCGTAATAAAATCATTGTCTTGCTCGAACAGTTGAACTTTGCGTTAATGCAAAGACATCATAAAACACTGCAGTAAATTCTTCTGTTCACTAACAATGTTGTTGATGTAAGCTTCGAACAGAAAAAAACCCATACATTTAAGATTCTATGTTCTGCATAAGAGGTGTTTGTACTTCTAGATTTATAAGATGTTAGTATTTTATCACCTCCATGTAATCAAATTACCTGTTAATTTCACTGGACTAGTAATAATTGATACTTTAATAATGAATTTCCATGATTCCATTGTTAATTTTAAAGAAATGCTATTGTTTAGTGGCCAAAAATGTCAAACTTCAGATATTTTCAGGCTTTAAGCATTGCTCTCTGTAGAGAATTGGCTAGTTATTATTGCCAGGAGCATTGCAAGTCAAATTTTATGTCTCAGTTTATTATGCAATCATATTAACTTTATAAATCTTAGACAGCACAATGTCATAAATTGAGATATAAAATATTCAGTATAATTTGTTTGATTGTATATTATTCCTTTGTTTGAGCTACAATAGAACAAATAAGATGTTTTTAAGATGATTAACAGTAAAGTATATAGTTATTCTGTGTGATAGTCATGATAGCATGATATGTGTGATAGCATGATTATTGTGATAGTCATGATAGTGTGATATGTGTGATAGCATGATTATTGTGATAGTCATGATAGCATGATATGTGTGATAGCATGATTATTGTGATAGTCATGATAGCATGATATGTGTGATAGCATGATTATTGTGATAGTCATGATAGTGTGATATGTGTGATAGCATGATTATTGTGATAGTCATGATAGCATGATATGTGTGATAGCATGATTATTGTGATAGTCATGATAGTGTGATATGTGTGATAGCATGATTATTGTGATAGTCATGATAGTGTGATATGTGTGATAGCATGATTATTGTGATAGTCATGATAGCATGATATGTGTGATAGCATGATTATTGTGATAGTCGCGATTGTGTGATATGTGTGATAGCATGATTATTGTGATAGTCATGATAGCATGATATGTGTGATAGCATGATTATTGTGATAGTCATGATAGCATGATATGTGTGATAGCATGATTATTGTGATAGTCATGATAGTGTGATATGTGTGATAGCATGATTATTGTGATAGTCATGATAGCATGATATGTGTGATAGCATGATTATTGTGATAGTCATGATAGCATGATATGTGTGATAGCATGATTATTGTGATAGTCATGATAGTGTGATATGTGTGATAGCATGATTATTGTGATAGTCATGATAGCATGATATGTGTGATAGCATGATTATTGTGATAGTCATGATAGTGTGATATGTGTGATAGTTGTGATATGTGTGATAGTCATGATAGTGTAATATACTGGTGACAATTTAGGCACAAGTTTGATATATATAAGCACTGTTAGTAACCATTTGCATTGAGTAAATAATAGATTTCAATTCAGATTCTGGTCCATTAAGGGCCCTATCAGATGCAGCTGTCAGTTTGATACAATTCCTATGAAAAGAAGTGGCAAAAGTTTAAAAACTGAGAGATTAAAAACAATTGTCACTCATTGCAATAGTTTTTTTCCCCATTCCCTTGATTGACAAGATGGGCTGCAAAGGTTAATGCAACTACTTGCTTTTTTAATTTTTTGCATTTCTTTTCTCTTAATATTATTTCTTCAATATATTGCAGATATTGTTTTATACACAGCTAGCTGATGTACTTTGACAACCAATACATAGTAGTGTTTTATAGTTTACAATAGCTTCAAACTCTTGAAAGTTCCAGGAAAAATGATATATTACTACACAGTGCTTATCTTTTTGTTGTCATTGTTAACATTGTTAAAAAAGCACTAAAATTAATTGAATTATGTAAATCTGATTGATTAAAACCTTCCACAGGTCCATATAGAAAAATTTATCATAAGTTTTTATCTTAATATAAGCAGTAAAAGTCTGGTGATAAAAATGTACAGACATACTTTAGTATACAATAAATATTTAATGTCTTTGACAATATGAGGATGAATAAACAATAGACTGATAATGCAGTGAAATAATGTATAACGATGGTAAATCTTTCACCAGGGCTGTATCCCTCGTAATAAAATTATACTCTATGTGAACATATTTCATTATTTTATTGTACAATTGATTTTGTACTGATAACTAAATATTCATGCAGACACATTCTGAGTTTAAATTGCAATTAACAAATATTTATATCCTAAATGTGTTGTAACCATGCATGTAAATAAATCACCTGTTTTATTGCTACCATAATTATTTATTCTGAAAGAAAGAAATTATTCTGTCTACGGCCTTTAATATTCAACTATGTCTGCCAGGAGTGAAATAAGTCCATTGGTAACATATTGTCAGGTGACAAATTCATGGTTTTCACGGTCAATAATCTTTCTTATAATAATTTGCATATTTCAAGAACCTGAATGAAATTAAAGAAAATGTCTTCATTTAAATTGCCAAGTGAAAGAGTTCTTAGGCATTTATTTTAGAACTTTTCCAAAATATGTCAAAAATGTTACTTAAGTAATTTTGGATGCAAAGCTGTGTGATCAATTCAATAAATGGATTGCTTAATTAAATTCTTTTTTAGGATACCATTATTGAAGTATTTTGATAGATTGAAGTTTAATGATAATTTTCAGTAAATTTTAGATCAATCTGTATATACAAGACTTTTCATTTAAACGAATTTTAATTTTTTCTGATGTGTCAAAGTTGTCCAATTATTTGTTGATTATTCAAACTCACATGCAAGGATTGTAGATATAACAGTCATCGAGCTGCATTTGTTGATTGTACGTTCGGACAAACAGATTCATCATCTTGTGAATAATCACAAAAACTTAAAAGTTTAATTCAGTTTAAGTTACCAGCTTAAATGTTTAAAATGAGCCTCGGCTGCACTTTGTAATCCATAAAACAAAGAAAAGTGCAAAAACTTGAATGTAATTAGAAAACAACAGCATGCCGTCTGTCGCCCACAATTCTATTGCACTCAATCACGGTGCACGTAAAAAATACTCAAATTGTCATTACATTTTGAAATATAATTGATAGCTAATGACATTTTTGTAGGTAAATGGTTGCCATCATTCATTAAAAGCAAATTACACAGGTGTTTTATGTTACAATTATTACTGGGATTTTCCCACTAAAATTATTTTTTCATCCGCCTTATAGTTTAAATATCAATTTGAAGAAGACAGAAACTTTAAATCTTGAATCGCATCAAGGCGAAACAGTTAGATACCATTTTGTCTTTGAAATACTCCATACAGTTTATCATGCAATGCTAACACATAGTTGGGCGCGAAATCTCACAAAACATTGCTGTAAGCAGATTAATCATGATTGGAAATCAAGTTATCGGAAAATATAAGACTTAAGTCATTATATCCTATAGAGTTCCTGTTAAGATATTAGAGGTAATCTAACCTAACTTAATGGGCTTGATGACATGTCGATGTTTTTCTCTAAAAGATACCCCAGGTTTTTCTGGAGATAGTAGTGTAAAGGAGATGAAGGCATTTTCTGCATGGTAGGTTTATGATATTGGGCAGACTGGGTGTTGATATTTCCTCATTCTTACCATTTGCAGGTTAAAAGTGCTGACATTTGAGTTTTAATGTACATTATCTGATATGAAGTTTTTAGTTCTGGCAATCTAATGCTTTGATAATAGAATAATCAAATCTTTACAGGTTATCAAAATGGATTTTATTTTTAAGAGAACTGTGTGTTTTTTTATCAAATGTTCAAGATTAATCATCCTATTAAAGATAGAATTAGTTTATATAGAATTTTAGTTTCATTATGTGTAGGAAGCTATAAGGTTATAAACAAACTTTTGAATCTGTTCCTGAAACCATCAAACAGTAGTAATGAGTGCTAAGTTTCTTGCTAAAGGAAACAACACTTTGCCCCTTAAACAGGAATTGAACCCAAGCAGCCAGCAATCCCAATTAAAAGTCTGATGCTAAAAAATTGACCTGGACACAGCCAATTGCTGCCAACACAAATATAGAATAGAAATGTTGGTTTTGCATAAACATGGTTGAAGTCAGCAAATTTTATGTGAATAATGTTCTTGGACATTTCGTTTAAGCAGATGTTTTGTTTAAAAGCTAAAAAAAATCAATTTTAATGCAGTTGTAAAATATACAGTCAGTTGAATATAAAAAATAATAATGGTGATGCCAAAACAAGGTCTAGTTAATATTACAAGCACTTGTTAACAATTTTACTTTTACATTGTTAAAATATCTTTGAATGGACAAAACCAATCATCATTTTTAGGGGAAAATTTTGAAATAAGTTAATCGACTAAAGTATCAAACATGATCAGGCTGCATGGGTGTGCTGGCCGCTGATTTTGGTCTGCGCTGGTCACATGGGTAGATTCATTGGTGCCAGAAGGCTAAGGGTTAAAAATGAAGGCCTTATCTTGATAATTGAATTGTGTTTCTCAAATACAAATTAACATTTTCAAATGTAAGTTGACATTTTTCAAAAACAACTTGACATTTTTAAAGTTGACTGTCATTTTCAATACAAGCCAACATGAACATTTAATTTAACAAACACATGTTACTGTATATTTTCAGGAAGTGCCACCACCAGGATCCTATGATGTTCAAAAATCATATGAGCACTCACAGATTCACATGGAGAGAGCAAAACCAAGAACTGATGTAGCCAGTAGAAAACATGGCTCATTTATGTCAGCTGCTTCAAGATTTGCACCACCTAGAGACATGGTCATTGCTGAATCAGACAAAGATACTCCAGGTAAATTTACTGAATGGTCAATCATGGAAATGAAGGCAGCATTGAGTATTACAGGCTGAAATTATTGGAGAATATATACAGGATATTCAAGTTTCTTCTATAAATACAGGATTTATTTTCATCGAGTGGTATGAAAATAAATATTTCACAAGTGGCAGTAGCCACGAGTGAAATATGTTAATTTTCATACCACAAGATGAAAATAAATCCTGTATTTTATGGAAAAATCTTGAATTTTCTGTTTATTATATGCTTTTTTTCCTCATTTAGCCTATGAATAGGAAGAGTTTCCTTTTAATTTTGTTTATTAGCTTAATTTAGAAGAAAGTAGTCCGGCAAGACACCAGTGAAAATACGGAAAATACCAGTGAAAAATAAATTTTTACAGTGAAAATACGGAAAATAAAAATAGGCATTTTATTTCATCAATATTTCTCAATATTTCATTCATAATTATATAATAAAATATAGTTGTGAAAGAAGAATATAAATGATCAAAGAAATACGGTAAGTTTTGGCCCGATCATGTCATACAGTGGACCCCATGTCACTAGAAGCTCTACAATACAATTTTGTATTTATTTTGCGAGCAATATAAACCTAAATGAAACATGATGTTCTAACATTTTTAAGATTTCTTATACAATATTAATTAAGTGAAACAAACAATCAATACAGAATAAGTTTTAAGGTTTGTATATTGATATAAACCAAGATTTAATTTTATAGATAGAAATATATACAATTAATTGAGTAAATTATTTTATTTTAAATGTTTTTTTACAAAAGTATGATTCTGTGATTTCACCATTCTGTGATTTCACAATAAAAAATCAAACTTAAAAAAAATGGAAAACATAATTAGAAACACTTTTAAAATGATATCAGTTGCATCCAAAATTGTGTTACCGGTTGGAAAAAAAGTATTGCTTTTAATAAACAGTTTATAAGAAAAAGGAAAACAGGTACATTTTTGTAATTCATCAAAGAGAAATAATAATTGTTTGAATTTAATTGTTGTATTTCCCTCATTAGCATGTTTTTCATTCATTAATAAACAAAATGTTAGTAAATGAGCCAGCAAGTCTAGCTGATATTTCTATGATAACTTCAGCTGGCAGAATTGATTTATACAAACTAGAATCTTCCCCTTTAATTGAATTTTCTAAATTGATTTGTAAATATAATGTTTTGTATTAGGAAGTACTTAACAAAATTAAAAGCTTTCAAAAATTTACAAAGCATGTTCGTCCCAAAGTCTAGCTGATTTTAATGATAAATCTTTTAAAATGGTTGGCTTCTGTTTGTATTTAATTTACTTTAAAATTATTGTTTTTGAAGATTATGTAATTTTGGTTGCCTTAAAGTATGAAAGAAACAAATTTATCTAGCTTCTATATCTGTGTATATTAATGTATTCAAAACATTTTGACATTCTTTATGATAAACTGGAATAAGTCTCGGCCCTTAAGGCATTGCAAATATGAAAAGATATAAAGTACTTCCTAATACATTTATTTCAAATTATTTATTATTCTATCATTTAGCCTTATTCAAAGGAACAATACAACTTAATTTTATTTGCAATTAAAAACTTTAATGGAGGTAACATCTAAAGTATTTTCAATTAATTATTAAAAAAAAATTATTCATCACAGCACTCAGTACTGATAGTGCAGCTGATAGACAATGGCCATGACAATGAACACAATGTATTAAATTGGTAACTTCTTTATGTAATGTGAGTTATAATTAACTGTTAGAAGCACCAAGGACTTGACTTTATGCCTAATATTCAGAAAGCTTGATTATATTAAAAATTTTATGTATATATTTAGTACATTTACTGACTATTTGTTGGGTTGATTAATTTAAACTATTCAAGCGCATGTATTTTGAGACAAAATGTCTGATGATTAATTTTCAATGATGAATGTTATTTTGCTCTCAGGGCTTTTATGACCCTATCAGTTTTGCCCATCTTAAAAATTTATGAATGAGCCACAAATTATCCCATACTTTATCTTGGGGCAGGTCTTACTTATTCATTTGAATCTTTTAAAATGTTGATGGTTTGTTATCAAGGAAATTTATTTCACAAAGATTATGTACATTATGGTATGTAAAGCCGGGACTGATTACTGCCAATATAAAACAGATCTAAACTGCCTACTACATCTCAAAACAAAATATTATATATAGAAATCAGGTATTAGAGTTGGCTCCAGATATCAAAGTTATAAAACTGTTTCCAGGCTGTTGAATTGATATATTTCACAGGTTTCATTTTTGATTTGTTGTATCTGTCGTAATGTTGGGGAGTATAATACTATTAGATTATGTAAATGTTAATTGTGTTACAGGAGGAGAAAATCTGCAGCTCTGTGTCTGGCATTGACTAAATACCAAATATTGTTATGATTAAGAAGTTTCAAGTGATACCATACATAAACAAAAACATTGATACAAAAATATTGTTCTCAAAACATGTCAAATTAAATTTGAATGAAAAAAACCCACACACACATCATTATATAAATTATACCAAGTTCTACCCTACTGAAAAATTGACTGGGAATCCCACTGGGATGAGGCTGGGATCCCAGTGGAATTTTAATTGGGATCCCAGTGGGACCCACTGGGAAAATTGGTCAGGCTCCCTTATCCCAGTGGGATTCCAACAAAATTTCCCAATGGTATCCAACCCTCATCCCAGTGGGATCCCAGCACTATCCCAGTGGGATCCCAGTAGGATCTCAACCAAATTTCCCAGTGAGATCCCAACACTATCCCAGTGGGATACATGTCCAAGTAAAGCACAGATACACTTAAAGTCTAAATTGAATAACTGATTTGGGTTTCTAAGATTGTTTTGTCAGCTTACATTAATTTACTCTTGATGATTGCATCCTGGGGTTCTGACCAGTATCACCTGTCATATATATTATTTAACAGTTTAAGTGATTGTCAAAGCCCAGCCAAATTTCAAAGCTGACTGCTCGAATCTGGAAGAAAAAGATTGGCCACCTAGTTGATTTGGATGAAGAAGTTCCATGTGACTAACTTTGCCTATCTATTCAAGTGAAAGAAACTGCCACAGAAAATTCAAATGACAGAATTTTATCATTACCACAATTTGTCTGGCAAGTAGTCAGCATAAAATATCAGCATTTTCTTCATTATATGACTGATACTGGATAGCAGCACCGTTCCCAACAGAAAATAGACAATTTCACAATTCTTGACTGATAAATTCCCAAAATAACACTGAAAATTTCTTCAAAAATCAGCAAATTTAAAGGTAAACAAAAACAGTAGTGCACATGCTTCCATATTGATAAGTGATATGGTAGGAAAGATTTCCCAATGTGGTCACAGTGTAGTCCCATGCATTGCTGGTATCATTTTTAGTCATCATGGAGAGTTTTTATTAAAGAAGTGTTTAACTAAAAACACCTGCCCTACAGTATTCTAGAAGCCATTTAGATGTGATTGACAGGTGTGATAGAAAATGTTATGCATCCAACCTTTGATGAACTAGAGATATCAAAACAAGTGCTTCCAGCAACTGAAATAAGTAATGAAACAGTGAAAAACAATAAACCAAGATGGGATTTGAAATAAAGATAGGCATGACTTAATGTAATCACCAAAAATAAAACTGTATGGGTGACTGGTTACGATTGACATGCACCTTGTCATTTAATGCTTTTGTGCATATAAAAATAACTGTAATAGATTCATCTTATAGATGCTACAGGTTTTTATTGTGTTCACAATAAAATAAAAAACTTTGACATTTTCATATCATCAAGCGCTTTAAGATAGCAGGGTCACAAAATCTTGATTAAATACTTTTTTTTTCTTCTTGAAAATGTTGTGCTGGAAATTTAATTTCTCAGTTAAATCAGATTTAAAGATCAGTACATGTATTAAAAAAAGAAGTTTTTGTTCAGTTTTAGTTATGTCTTCATTTTTTAGCAATACTTTATGCAAATTTTACCTCCAGCTGGAGAGATTGTTTTTATTTAACTTGAAGGAAGAACAAATAAATGTCACATTAATCTTGCAGTGAAAAAAACACATTTAAATTTTAATGTTTTTTTTTTTAATCTGAACAAAAAACGGGAAGTAAGATAATCTATAACTTTTCAAGAAAAAAATAAAACAATACAATTTATAACTCTGTGAAGTATTATCTATCCATCTTTGAATCAATTGAAATTTCGTAGTTTTGGCAAGATTTTGTTCACCATTCTGATGAAAGTTTGGTTGCTAAGGTATTACACCATCATGTTTTTGTTACCCATGTATAGAACTTAGGTGACTATATGTTATCATCAATATTAAGTAGTTATCTTAATTAAAAAGTTGTTAAATGTTTAAAAGTAAATGTTTGTCAAACAAAACATAAAGCCGGATATTGCTTTTTCTTTATGTGTAAAAAAACACCATCAAAGGCAATGGATAACTTCCTTCTGCTGTATCTTGTTTTCAGCATCTCCTTACAGCATGAATGGTAGAACAGAAGCATTTTATTGTCTCAGAAGTGACCGATAGAATCAATTAACTTAATTAAGTGTTCTTGTTATGCATGGTTATGATAGTATCATTTAATTTGTTTCCTAGTGGGTTTTCTATGTTTGGTAGTTTCTATACATTTGTTTGTTATCAACCAATGAACAGATGGTGAATAGTTTCTCTGGACTCTCCAGGTCATATATGGTCAGTAGCAAATTGATTGAAGCTGGCAATTTGTGTTTGATCTCTTGGTTAATGTGTGCCACAAATCATGAGACCCCCTAGTAAATCCTGCAACAAGTTCAAAGCTGTGACATTTCATTGGGAAATATATGAAATAACTCAGATGTTTGACAGTGTAGGTCAAATCTGTGAAACTACTCATTCTGTGTTTCCAATATTTTAAGAGCTTCATAAAATAGGAGTTCAAATCTTTCTCAGGAAAGGATGAGATTAATGTCTATTATCATTTGCTATAG